CAGGACAAGAAGCTAAGAACTTCTGATATTTATTTTTCCAGCATCTTCAATATATGGTAAGTGATAGTGAGTTTTCAATCATGGTCATAATATGAAATCTCCTTTTAAAAAACATTCTTTAGGGCCGGCCCGGTGGCTCACTCGGTAGAGTGCGGCGCTTGGGAGCACGGCGGCGCTCCCGCCGAGGGTTCGGATCCCATATGGAGACCGGTCTGCTCACTGATTGAGCGAGGTGCGGGTGCGACACCGAGGGTTGCGATCCCGTTGCCAGTCACGAAAAAAGACACAAAGAAAAAAAAAAAAACCATTCTTTAAGTGAAAAAGTGAACCAATTTTAAGAAAACATTTGTAAATATCAGCACACCAGTGCGTGTTCACAACAGTCATCGAAGGCACGCTTGAGACGGGGAAGCACGTACAGGGTGAGGCCACCCCAAGCAGGAGCTGCAGGTGCTAGACAGAGGTCCCTCCCTCCCCATCTTCCTGTCCCCTCCCTCCCTCTTAGGCCAGCCCCAGCTTGGACTTCCCAATATCAAGCCCCCACCGACTCAGCAGGAGACCCTGGGAAACAGTTTCCTCTTATTGCAACGGTCTTCCCTGCTCTGCGCAGGCCCACGGGCAGCCGTCTCTACCTTTCCTTGCCCTCACCACTGGCCTCTCACCTGGAGCTCAGTTCCTGGGCTAAGTCTGTGTCCACAGTGGCCCAATGCAGGTCGGCAAGACCAACCTAGGTAGGGCCCACAGCCACGGACACCAGTGGGATTCTCAGTTGCAAATCGGAAGCCCCCGGGGTTTCAGTGTTTATGAAAAAGGGGCTTACTGGCTCCTGTGACTTTGAAGTCCAGGGGTGGGCTTGCTTCAGGTGAGGCTGGATCCAGGTGTGTGGAGCAAGTGGGCAGGCCAGGTTTCATGCCTTCCCCAGGGTTGGCTTCATTCTCAGATTGGCTGTTCCCATTAAATATCTTTAGGGCCTTGGCCGCTGGAGGCAACCCCTACCATGGGGCAATCACCCCATTCCTATGACTTTCAACAAAGGTCTTGAGGCTAAGGGATTCAGTCTGACTGGCCAAACCTGGGTCAGCTGCCAACTCCTGGGCAGGGGAGGGTCAATCCCACCCAAGTCCCCCATGGCCTGAGAATGGAGGAGGGGGCTGGCCCGGTGGCGCACTGGATAGTGCGCCACTTGGGAAGCGCGGCGGCGCTCCCGCCCGAGGGTTCGGATCCCACATACAGACCAGTTCCCGCTCACTGGCTGAGCGAGGTGCGGGAGCAACACCGAGGCTTGCGATCCCGTTGCCGGTCCCCGGTCCGGTACGGGGTCAACACTGAGGGTTGCGATCCGTTGCCGGACACGGAAAAAGACAAAAGACAAAAAAAAAAAAAAAAAAAAAAAAAAAAGAATGTAGGAGGGA